AAAGTTAGCTAAGACCCGGGAAGGCACCCTCCGCTGGAGGAGGGTGGCGGGGCCAAAAGCGATCCCCTGACGGAGGCGGGGACCTTCGGGTTTTCGGGGCGAAGCGCCCCCGCTTCTGGGGATTGCCGCCGAAGCATGGTCCCCGTCCTCGGGGGGTCGCCGGCGCGCGGCCCCCCGTTCGGGCCAGGTGTTCCCACCTGGGCTTCCCGCCGTGCCGGGCGGTCCGTCCTCCCCTTCGTGTAGTCTGTCGTCGTTGCGGGCTTGTGGAGTCGTGGCGGGGTGGCGGGCTTGTGCTGCGTGGCGCCGCGTGCAGGTGGTCTCTGGTGCGCGGCCGCTGGCCTGCCGGACGCCGACGGGCCGCCTGTGTGCTTCCGCGCAGCGTGTGCCTGCCCTCCACGCAGGTTCACCATGCGCCAGCCGGCCGCCCGCAGGTGAGGAGGGCGCGTGCGCCCGGGTGGCGCCGGCTGTTCAGGCCGCGGCTAAAAATAGATAAGCCTTGCCTCCTCGGTCCATCTGGTGGTCCTGCGAAACGCATCCGGTAAAGCGAAGGCGGCGACCGCACATGGGGAGAATATCGATAGGAGGAGGAGGAGGAAGAAGAGGAGGAGGAGGAGGAGGAAGAGGCGGCGGACTGGAATAAGGAGGAGGACGGGAAGGAGGAGGAGGAGGAGGAGGAGTTGGAGGAGGAGGAGGAGGAGGAGGAGGAGGAGGAGGAGGAGGGCGGGGAGGAGGAGTGGGAGAGGGTCCCCCTTCCCCCTCGTCGCGCCTAAGGGTTTCCTTTTATTGCGCTTGCGCGTGAGACCCGCAGAGCAGGTCCTCGCGCGGAGGAGGAGAAGGAGGAGGAGGGAGGAGCTCGCCTGCGAGGCCCCTCGCATCTCAGGAGCGCCCGGCCAGCAGTTCTTCTGATGGCCTTGCGTTAAAGTCGGGCGTGTCCTTCTACAGGAGGAAGGGGACGCTTTTCTCGTGTTTTTGAGCATTGTTTGGGTATTTGTTGCGTATATGTTTCATTTATCGGCCAAAATCCGCCTGTAGGACGGCACGCCCGACCGAACCTTGCGGTCAAAGGTTTCTCATGCTGGATGCCGTGGGCGGGGCAGAACCTCGTCCCGGCCTCGGCTTGGGCGGTCAGTTCTCTTCAGGGAGTCAGAGCCCCCCGTGGGGTTAAGTCGGGCCTGTCCCATATTCAGAAAAAGTATAGCACATACATGATGTAAGCGGCGTCGGGGGCCCCGCGGCCAGGGCCGCACATTTTTCGTAAACGAATTTGTCCCCTGGGCTGCGGGGGCCTTCTTTGGCATCCCGGGGTCCGTTTTCGGAGTCCCGGAACTTTTTCCGCTTCCCCGAGGCGTCCACCTAGGCTTCTGGAGACGGCAAGAAGCCGCCAAGACGGCCCAAGAGCGCTCCAAGCCGCCCAAGATGGCCCCATGATCGGCCCAAGAGGCCCCCAAGATGCCCCAAGGTCGTTCCGCGAGGACCTCCAAGAGAACCCCAAGGCGCCAAAATCATTGATTCCATTGCGTGTTTCCAATTTGTGTTGCTTCTAACGTTGTCGAGCGGCCGACATTCCAAGACTGCTTGGAATCCACTGCCCCTCCAGTGTGAGGCAGTTGTATAGAAGGGGGAACAGGGGACAGAGTGTTTACACAGTTTGGAGGAATTCGTGAATTCAGTATGGGTCGTGCTTGAAGCGCCTCGAAGAAAGCGCGCGCACCCGAATCGCAAGCATATGGCTATAGGCGGACCCAAGACAGTTTGCTTCCCGTCGTCGTCCTCGCCCTTGCTCCGTTCCCCTTCCTACTTCCCCTCCCCTGGATGGTGTCGAAAGCGCCCGCGGCTCGGGCGGGGGAGCACCCCTTCTCACCTCCCTCATTATTCCTCGTTCCTCTTTGCCTCCCTGCCTCACCGTCCGTCGTCCTACCTCGTCTCCCATCCATGTTCGATAAGTGAAGTCCCTGGTGCCGCGTGCCCGCATCAGCGGTATATCGCCTTTTTCGATGTCCGAGCACAGCGACGCAACCAAACAGAGGCGCTTGACAATGCGACCGTTCGGGGCGCATTCCAAACGCGGGCGGCACGGCCGCCGAACACACTCGCATCGCTAACATGTAAATTATAGGTACCTGCGGCAAGGTCCGCCCCTTGCCAGAGCAGCGGTCTGTATGGCGACGCGTGGAGTTTTGATTGCTAAGGGGTCCATGGCGTGTGACACTTCTCGTATTTTCGGACTGTTGTGCGGCATTCGCTGGGGTCCTCCGAGGCCTTTTCGGTGCGTTTTCGGGCCGTTTGGGGCCGGTTTGGCGCCGCCTTTCACCGCGGCCGCCCTGGGCCAGGGAAGCGTGTATTTGCAGCTCCCTCGGGGGCGCCCTGAGCCGGGGAAGTGTGGATTTGCATCCCCCCCTAGCTGGGCATGTCGACTTCGATTCTGGGTTGGCAAAGTCGGGGCACCCTCGAGGTGGCGAGCGTTCACCTTTTCGACATACGCAGATCAAGGTGTGATTTGTGTACACAATTTGTGTCTTCAACTGTGTATTTTCGTGTGCGGGCCTCCTGTTTACACAGATCGTGGTGCGATCTGTTTACACAGATTTCGTTCCCATCTGTGTATTTGGAGTGTGCGCCTCGCGGGTGATGTTGAGGCGGGAACTTTCACGTTTCTTTTTCGGCTGGTCCAGGGGGGCGTCGTAGGCGGTCGAAATACACAGCTCGTGTCTCGGACTGTGCATCTGTTGTGCGCCGCTTGCTGGAGTGGTAACTGGGCGGGAGTTTCCGCGGGTTTCCCGGCTGGTCCAGGAGGGGGCAATGGTCTGGGCATGCAAAGGCGCGAGGGGGGGATGGTGGGCTGTGGGAAGCAAAGGGTTCCATAGGAGGGGTGGCCAAAGGGCCAGGGATGAACGGGACTGGACGAGAGGGGAGGAAACGGGCCCAGGAGGAGTTGCATGATCGACGTCAGCATCACGAGGACGAGGGAGGCGGGGGGGGGCAGAAGGAGGGGGCACGATGTGCACTAGGGCGTAGAGGATGCAAGGCGGGCAGGCATGTGGACGATGGGGGGACGAATCCGGCGGAGGAGGACGACGAGGGACGACATGAATTGGCACATGGGGGGCGACAGTGTGGATGAGGGGCACGCTGAGGACCAAAGGTAATCGGACGGGCATGAGGAGAGTGGGCCGAAACGAAGGGATATTGGGAGGCGGCGGGGGATGGGGCATGAGTTCGAGGCGGGCGCCAGCTAACGATTAGCTGAACAGTGTTCTCCGTGTCCGTGCGCTCCCCCCCAGAACACAATGACCGGCTTCAGAACTGCATGATCTGGGTAATCGTGCGTTTCGTGTTTCCTTGCCAAAAGCTCGAGTCCACGACGCCCTTTGGCGTCGCGTTGATGCCGCCCCGATTTGCCAGACCGCATATGCACAGATAGGCATAATATGTGTTCCAACGTTTGTTTCATGACCCTTTTCTATAGTAGCAGACCCACGCTGGAAACCCAAATATTGCCCAAGGAACCTCCAACGTCGCCCCAAGAGGCCCCCAAGAGGCCCCAAAAACAGCTCGAGAGGGCCGTATGATCGGCCCAAGACGGCCCAAGAGGGCCTGAAGAGGGCCTGAAGACGGTTCCAAGATGGGCCCAAGAAAGGGAACGCGAACCGACCTTTCAAGTTCCCCGCCCCCAGAGACCCCAGGAGGCCCCAAGAAGCCCCCAAGTGGCTCCAGGAGGCTCCAAAGAGGCCCCAAATATGTTTAAGAGAGGTCCGACAAGCTCCACACCGCCCCCGGTGGGGCTTCAAACATGTTTCCAAAAAGGCCCCCCTAGAGGCATCCCACGAGATCATCCCAGCGAACACCCGAGAAGGCTCTAACCCACAATCCAGACACGGTTGCGGGATGGGTCCAAAATTGCGACGTCGGGTTCGCATGGGGGGCTGGGGTGGCCTTGAGGGCTCCAAGAGGGTTCAGAACGGGCCCCAGACCCCTCCAGAGGCTCCCGCGCTGGCCCAAGATATTCCCAGGAGGCTCCAGAGAGCCCCCCAACTGCCCGAACTGAGGCGCCATCTGCCCCAAGAGGCCCCCAGGAGGCCCCAAGAGACTCCCAGGAGGCCTCCACGACGCCCCCAAAAAAACACCAAAAAGGTCCCAGAAAGACCCGAGAAACTCCCGAGAACCCCCCACGGAGCTCGCAGGAAGCCTCTACACAGACCTTCAGAAGCCCGGCAGAAGCCCTTCGTCCTCCATGTTCCGGAACAGCCCTTCGGAACACGTGGCCCTGGCTGCACCCCCCCGACCCGCCCACACAATGTCGAGGCCCGACGACGCCCACTTGACGCCCGCAAGACGCTCCGGAAACGCGTCTCCGGCACACGTGGATCAGGTGACAATGATGCTGATCGGTGGTCCGTCGTCGTCGTCGTCGTCGGTCGTCGCTGGTACGCTACAGGCCAAACCCGTCCTTGATCTTCGCAGTATCCGCCCGAAAATCACGCATGGGTGAAAGGGAGATACCCGGAAGACCACATGGAGAAGGTCCAATGGAAATTGACATCGTCTTCGGAGTCGACTGGAACCTGAGCGCGCGAAGCGCGCGCGTGGTTCTGGTAAAAAACAGTCCGGGGACGATGGTTTGACTATTTTTGCCCGTTTGGGGGGGGACATTTCTCGAGTATTTTTTAATTCTTCGCCCAACATCCTCCTGTAGGCGGGACACGCCCGACCTGACCCTGGGGAGGGTGCGCGCGCATCCAATGGGACGCGCGCTGCGTCGGATTCGGGGCGTCCGCGCATCCCGTGTCCGCAGCCCCGCCAGGGCACGCGCGGTCCGAGGCCGCGCGGCCGCGGGAGGAGGGAGGAGGAGCGCCGCGGGAGGAGGAAGGAGGAGGAGGAGGAGGAGGAGGAGGAGGAGGAGGAGGAGGAGGAGGAGGGGGAGGAGGGGGATGATGGGGGAGGAGGAGGAGGAGGAGGAGGAGGAGGAGGAGGAGGAGGAGGAGGAGGAGGAGCGGCCGGAGGGCGCCGTGTACGAGACGTCCACCGGCGGGGAGCCGTTCGACGCCTACGAGGTGCCTTCGTCAGGAGAAGAAAAAAACACACAAACACAATTAATCCTCGATTCCCCTGAAAATATAGGAAATATGGGCAGCGGGGGGGAAGGCAAAAACCCAGAAAATATGGAAAAATATGGGGAATATGTGTATTTGTGTGTATTTATTTGTGTGTCCTGGGGCCCCTTCATTTCGGGCGGGCACGATGGCGCATCGAGGCCAGACCGTGGCGCTTTTGAGTCGGGCATTGCACCCTACCCTGGCAGGACGCCTCTTCAGATCGTGCCCCGGGCGGGGATGGGGTCAGCAGCACAGAGGCTTGCCCTTCGCAGCAGGTGGAGAGACCTGCCCTTTGGTAAGACGGTTGAGTCCTCTTGTGCGTTTCTTCTTTCTTATCTTTATTCGCCTCGTTTTCTTGCTCCTCGCCCTCCTCGTACACATGCTCCTGCATCCTGCTGGTACTACTCCTTCCCCCCTCTCCCCCCCAACGGACGGGTGCGAGGGCGCGACAGACGTGGGCACAGTCAGACACAGACACATGCACAGAAATACATGACAGGTGAAGGCATGCGTACTTTATGCTTATCTGAGTTCCCCCTCTTCGTTCACCTTCCTCCGTAACCCTCCTGCATCCCTTCTTCTCTACAGAATTGTCATGGCACGTCCTCATGTTTCTGCTGTCTCCCCTACCTGGTCGTGCTGCTCCTTTTTTCCTACGGCTACGGCTATGACTGCGATGACGCGCGAGAGAGAGAGAGAGAGACAGAACAATGTTTGTATACGTACACTTATATATAAAAACATATACACGTATATCGAATGGCCTTCAGCCCACTGTGCTTGGGTTTTGGGTCAGAGTTCTCAGGGATGTTTCTTGGGGTCTCTTCGGAGCGGTCTCGGGTGCCTCGTGGGGGCAGTTTGGGGGCCTTTGGGGAGCTTCTTGGAGGCCTGTTTGGGCCTCTTGGGGCCTCTTGTGAGCCTCTTGGGTGCCTCTTGGGGCCTCTTGGGCCCCTCTTGGGGCCTTCTAGAGCCCTCTCGGGGCAGAAGGCTTGAATCTTCGGTTCTTGGTCCTTCTCTGGGCCCGCTCTTGGGACCGTCTTGGGGCCATCTTGGGATGTTGGGTTGTCTTGGAGCCATCTTGGGCCGTCTTGGGAGCCTCTCTGGGGCCCTTTTGGGGCGATCTTCGGATCGTTTTGCGTTGTCTTGGAGCGTCGGAAAGCCGAATTGGCGAGAAGACCGAAAACCTCCAAAATCCTTAGGAACATCTATGATTGTGGCCTCTTGAGACGCTCTTGGGAGGCCTCTTCGAGGCCTCTAGGCCTGTCTTGGCACCTGGGCCGTTTTGGGGCCATCTTGGGCGTCTTGGAGCAAACGTGCGGCGTCTCGGGGCCCTATTGGACCGTCTTGGGGGCCTCTTGAGGCCCACTTGGCCCGTCTTGGAGCCCTCGCACGCGGCAATCCCAAAGGAGTTTTGTGAAATCGGGGTCCGGGCCCCTTACGAAGCCTCCGGATCTAGGATTGGAGCTCTGGGAACGAGGGAATGGACCTGAGGACACGCTCACTCCGTGCGCAGCAGCACGGTGGCGATCTGTGTGCATGTTTGTACGTCTGTTTGTATGTATGTATGTATGTATGTATGGATGTACATATGTATGGATGTACATATGTACGTATGTGCGTAGTTACGTATGGACGTATCTACGTATGTACTATGAATTCATGTACGTACGTACGTATGTATGTAAACATGTATATATACATGGTATGCATGTGTGTATGCATGTTATGTGTGTAATGCATGTGCGTGTGCATGTATGCATGCATGTACGTAATGTAATGCAGCGCAATGTAATGGTGCATGGAGTGTATGTTATTTTTATATGGCATAAATTGTATGCATGTACGTATGTGTGGATGTGTGCATGTGTGTGTATGTCTGTATGTATGTATGTATGTATGTCTGTATGTCTGTATGTATGTCTGTATGTATGCATGTATGTATGTATGTATGTATGTATGTATGTGTGTGTATGTATGTATGTGTGTATGTGTGTATGTATGTATGTATGTATGTATGTATGTATGTATGTATGTATGTATGTGTGTGTGTATGTATGTATGTATGTATGTATGTACATATGTATGTGTGTATGGATGTATGCTGTTATGTATGTATATCGTATGTGCGTCTGCCTGTCTGTCCGTCTGTCTGTCTGTATAGATGTGAGTAGGTATGTGTGTATGAAGGTTTGCATGCATGTATGGATGTAGATTTGTATGTATGTACGTATACATACATATGTATACATCTACACAAAAATGTGTATTCGGGCAGAGGGAAGGAGGGAGGGAGAGAGAGAGAGAAAGAGACAGAGAGGTGAGTATATACATGTAGTTGTGCGCATATACGTAGGAATAGAGAGAGAATCAACTTATAGGGTGTATAGAACGATGAGCCTTCATCTGGTGGCCGCCGGCCCATCTCGCCACCGTGGGTTGGTCGGTCGTGGACAAGAGGCTTCTTGGATGCATCGTCGGGCCTCTCGACAGCCTCTCGGAAGCCTCATGGGGTGCTTTTTGGGGGTGTCTGGGCCTCCTTGGGCCCTGCTGGCTGTCTCGGTGACCAGATCAGGCTGGAGGGCCGGAAACTGCAGCTCGAGGTCCACCTCTCGGGGGCATGATGGGGGCTTGTTGGGCCCCTCTTGGAGGCCTCGGAGGCGCTTTGGGCGGGTGTTGGGAGCCTCTTGGGCCGTCTTGGGCGCTGTTACGTAACATCGAAAGGTCGAGTACGTAAAATCGAAAAGGTTGAGTATGCAAGAATCGCACCAAAGCCAAGTGTCGAATTTGATATGCATCTGCGGAGGTCAGCGGCGCAGACGTGGTCGTGCGGGAGCAGAGCGCGACATTTACAGATGTCCGCCATCCCATCCGTGGAGAGCATTTTCCCGCTCCTCCTCCTCCCGTTCCCACCCGATTCCCCGTTCTCAAGGTCCGCCTCACTCCTCCCTCCTCCCCGAGGTTCTCGTCACTGTCGGCGGCCGCACGTGCGCAGCTGTGCTGACCTGCTGCGACGAGTCCTCGTCGGACGACGCCCTGCTAGGACGGCGGGGGCAGCGGCGTCTGGTCAGGAGCAGCGGGGGGAGGCGGAGCAGAAAGGGAGGAGAGGGGGGGTGGGGGGGATGGGGCGGCGGAGGGGGAGGGCAAATGGACCCCCTGTGGGTTCCCCTAGGCTTCGTAAATAAGCTTTGAGAGTGGGCATGGAAGGCCCCTGCGTTTCAAATAATTATTGAGTTCCCCTCTCAGGATCCTGTGCCCAGGGGGGCTTGCGCGGTTTAAACAGCGAGGATTATTACCCCTTCTTTTGCTAGTGCCCTCGTCGGTCCAAACTGATTGGAGCGCGGGGGAGTTGTTCCTCCCTCCTCGTCCCACCTTCGTTTCCTCCTCCTCATCCGCATCCTCATCCTCCTCCTCTTCCTTAGTTTCCTCCTCTTGTTTTCTTCTCCTCCTCCTCCTCCTCCTCCTCCTGCTTATCGTTTTACCCCCCTGCTCGCGCGCCAGGACACATGGCCCTCGGGGCCATGGGTCTGCGCGTGGACTGCCTCGCCCGGCAGCTCACCCCAAGCGAGAAGGCGGGACTCGCCGCTGGCGCTCGCGTCTTGGGACGGAGGCGGCCACAGAGGGAGCCAGCGAGGAGGAGGAAGGCAACGGCGACACGGAGGAGAAGGAGGTCGAGGTGGACACGGAGGAGGAGGACGGCAGCGATGACGAGGATCAAAAAGGTCGTCGGACGAGGAAATACGGACGATTTGGAAGAATCGGGTCCTAGAACTGGGGGCGGGGGCCGAGGAGTGGAAAGGACGACGTGGACGAGCACGAGGACGTACAGCCACAGACGGCAAATTAGGACCGAAAGGGGTAGCATCGGAAGCGGAGTCAGAAGGAGGACCCAGACAGAGACGGGCGAAACGTGATAATGGACATTCGTCCGCGCTGTTCAACGACGACGAGCATAACAATAGGAACATATAGCAAAGGCGATGGTGATTCGACGGCCAGGGCACTCGAGTTATCTGCATGGTCGCTGTCTGGAGTACATACATATATATATACATGAATACATACATACAAACTGTTTTAAACAACATCCCCAACCATCCTGTGGTCATGGGTCCTCGTTTTGAAGAGACAGCGCCCCGCGTCTCCTTCTTCCTCCCCCCATCCTCCCATACCCGCCACTCGAGCGGTATGTCCTCCTGCCTCGATTGCTTCGCATCCTGTCCTTGCCGCCGCCGCATCGGATCTCAAGGATCTGCTTTACCGCGCCCGCTTTGCGCAGTAAGACTTGCACTATTAAACTATACATGACTCGACAGTTTCCTTTGACGGAAAACAGTTGCTCACCTTCCACATCCCCTCTGCCAGTTGGTAGCTGAGCAGGCTCGCCCCTGCTCCAAGATCACGGCCGCCATGTCAAGCTTCGCCTCGATGGCCGTTGTTCCTACCATCCGCCGCTCTACATCGCGACGCTTGCAGGAGTCACGGCTGGACCAGCCCATCCGTAGGAACACGTCGTGCCGCTCGACACGCCGCAGTGAATCCCGCTCTACATCCGCCTTCACTATCATCACCTTCGTGCGGCTCTTCCTGCTCACTATGGCAGGAAACGTTACTCGAGGGTCCGTCGGGGCATTCGCACATCCGCTAGGACCAGTTTCCGAGAACGTGCACAACCAGTACTTCATCAAGGACACCGCCGCCAAAATCTACAAGGACCGCTCTGCGAACCAACCTGGGCATGTTCGGCCTGTGTCCAAGCAGCTCGCGGACTCCAACCTGTCAGTGCCCCCGCCCGCGGGGTAGCCTCAGGTGTTAAAGCCAAGTTCGACAACGTTCACACATGCGGTGCCAGAAGAAGGCCTGGAGCTTCTTGGGAGTGTACGTTGAGAGTCCTGGGAGTAGCAAGCAGATAAAAGGGATCCGGCGACTGCGTCGCTGGTGCCGAGCGGGAACGCAGCGGGGAGCATGGGAATTTCCTTCGCAACCCTCCGAGGTAACGCAGTGGACGGCATGACGACTGGCGCGCCATCAGTTCGAGGCACCACACATCGGGGCCCGACCCTTCGCTTGTTCAACTCAGACCCGCTAGCCGGGCAGGGCGGGATCCCGACGCGCTCTCTTCCGTAGGCGATCATGCAGTTGGCGGCGTTCACTACAGTGACCACGCAACGCACGAATAACATTCCCGCGAGTGCGTCGCGGTATGCCCCAGGTACCGTGAGCATTGCAAGACGCCCAATACGCTGACGAGGAGGAACACACCCGGGGCTGGTATCCGCGGCGACTCGCGCAACGCCGCTGGAGGACCCCCAGCTTCGAACTCCTCTACGACACGTCAGCTACTTTCCTGGCGGACAGCCATCGGAAACGGCATGTGCACCATCGCAAGCTGCATCCTTGCACTAACGCAGGTGATGGCAGCGGCAGCATTCGCCACCTCCGCACCCCCAGGCCCGAACATCAGGCTCACGCGCCTTTTTCCAGGAATGGGTGCACGAGGGGATGATTTGGCCAGTGGCGAACTACGACTTCAGCAAGTTTCGCCAGACGGCCGCCGTCTCGTCGCGCCGAACCGTCATGGCGCCTTACCGTTGCGACACATGTGCATGGCCATGCACGGGAAGAACCCGGGATTACTTTGCACATGTTCCAGCCGTGTCTTCAAGATGTGTTCAATGTTTTTGTGGGGCCGTATGCGTATGTGTATATATGTATGCCCCTGTATATACATCCACTCGTTTTGGTTCAAAGTCGCACGTGCGCATATGGGTACGTGTGTGTATGTATTGGTGTGTATGTGTGTATGTCTGGTTGTATGCATGGGTGGATAAATAGATGGATGTACAGCTTATGAACGTATGTATGTGCACGTATGCAGTTGTATGCGTGCCATGGGCCGTGGCGTGTTAGAACGTAAGCGCGCTTTAGTATGAGAATCAGCATGGAGCAACAGCGGTTTCGCACAGCACGGAAACACCAAATCTGACAGCAACATAGTGGGTTCGTGGGTGCCCGCGTGACGTTGCAGAGTTCGCCGTTCTGCGGTGCGTTATGTTACCTGGGTTATGCACAGCCCGTTCGAACAAAACGTCGCCTGTCATAACAGCAGTTGTGTACAGCAGGGACTTGAATGCAATAGCGTCAATAGCAGCGCTGACAAGACCACCAGTTGTAGAAACCCCCGTGCATCCCAGGAGACTGCCCGATTATCAAGGCATTCAGAAAGGGTGAGATGGGGAGGTCAGGAGGGACGGCAGTCATACCAATTGTAGTGGTAGCGCTGTGTCCAGCCCGCATTGATGACAGAGACAGCCAGCAGTTTATCCCCACACCTTCCCCATGCGTAGGGCACCCTGGCGGACGTTTCGGATGACGAGTTGCGAGGAAGCGGAGTGGTCCCATCGCCCTTTCGCGGCACAGCGTCACCGCACACCCCATTCGTGCCGTCACCGTACATAGCCACGGGTTGATCCCGTTCCGCATGGCGCGCCGGTGTCATACACAGCGACGCGTTTACTTGTTTCTTGCCCAGCGCCTTCCCATTCCACCCCGCTCACTCCCATTCCACCCCGCTCACTCCCATTCCACCCCGTTCCGACGAGGACGGGAGGAGGCAGATGGCGGGGAGGGGGGGAGGGGGCACATCCTATCCCAGCGTTCCGTGCGTTCTTCTTGAAGCCACTGATTCTTGGCAAGCAGAATTGAGGTGTGGCGAGTTGTCGTTATCTTTCGTTATGTTTATCTTTGTCTCGCTCTCTCTCTCTCTTTCTCTCTCTCTCTCTCTCTCTTTCTCGCTCTCGCTCTCTCTCCCTCTCTCTCTCTCTCTCCCTCTCTCTCTCTCTCTCTCTCCCTTTCTCTCGCTCTCGCTCTCGCTCTCGTTCGGTCTCTCCCTCTCTCTCTCTATATCCCTGTGTGTCTCGCTCTCTCTCTCTCTCTCTCTTTTTCTCTCTCTATCTCTGTATTTATCCTTCTCCCTCTGTCTAGCTCTCTCTCTCTCTCTCGCTCTCTCTCTCTCTCGTTCGTTCGGTCTTTCTCTCTCTGTCTCGGTTGTTCTCGTTCGCATTCTCTTATGGTTTGGGATCACCGTTTTGAAGAGACAGCGCCCCTTGTCCCTCTCCTCTCTTCTCTTCCTCCTCCACCCCATCCTCCCTTTCCTCCCTTCTCACCTGCGCGCCTCTGCTCTCCGCATCAGTCTACCATTTCAGCCCGCGTCCTTCATCTCCTATCCTCTCTCCTCCTCCCCCAGCCGCCCCCCCTCCCCGTGATCCATCCCATGTAGGCACCCCTCACACGCTTCGTGGCCCCATAGGGAGCCCCACACAAGGCCCAAATGGTGCCGCCTGCATGCGTCCCCGCCACCACATTCGGCACACGCCTTACACGTTTCGTGGCCCCATGGGGAGCTCCGCCCAAGGTTCACATTGAGTGTCCCCGCCACACAATTCGGCACACCCCTCACACGTTTCGTGGCCCCATGGGGAGCTCCTCCCAAGGTTCACATCGTGCCGCCCGTGTGCGTCCCCGCCACACACGCACACACAATTCGGCATTCCTCACACGCTTCGTGGCCCCATAGGGAGCTCCACCCAAGGCTCAAACGGTGCAGCCCGCCTGCGCCCCCACCACCCATTCGGCATACCTTTCACACTTCGTGGTCCAAACGGGAGCTCCACCCACGGCCTAATTGGTGCCGCCCGCATGCGTCCGCACCACACATTTCGGCACACCCCTCACACGCTTCGTGGCCCCATAGGCAGCTCTACCCAAGGCCCAAATGGTCCCTTCCGCAGGCGTCCCCGCCACCCATTTGGGCACACGCTTCACACGTTTTGTGGCCCCATAGAGAGCTCCACCCAAGGCCCAAATGGTGCCGCCTGCATGCGTCCCCGCCGTCCATTTCGGCACACCGCTCACACGTCTCGTGGCCGTGAAGGGGGCTCCACCCAAGGCCTAAATGATGCCGTCCGCATGCGTCCCCGCCACCGTGAGGGGGGCATAGGCTCAAGGGGGGGGTATGCATCGACCCCGAATCGCCAATTCATCGCCGATTGCAGCCGATCACCCTCCCCGCCCAGGACCATGCGGTTGTGCCGCCGATCTATCGGCGACTTATCGCCAAGTCCAGCGCAATGTCCCCCCCCCGACCTATCGTACCCCATCAGAGGAGGATGGTACCGGTGTGGACAGGAGTCGTAAGAGGAGGCGCAAGCTACCACACAGCATCCTTGCGAGAGCTCGGTATCTGCTCTGAATCTCGAGATCAGTCCGTCAACCAACCGTGCGCGAAAATTGATGTCGATGCGATCGATGCGACGTTGGGTCCCCCAAGTGTTTTGATAGTAATAGAGCAGCCACGAAGCTGATCATCAGATGGTGAGCTTGTCATGACTTGCTAACCGTGTTGAGAATACGAATTCTTCAGACGAGTGTTCAAATCTCAAGCAGTATCAGCCGAATCGAGCCTAAGTTGACACTTTGTCTCTTCTTGTCGGCCCGGTCAACAAGCTCCGCCCTGCACCCGAATTCCTCTAGCTCCGGTCCCCTTGGGAGCTCTACGAGGGACAGCATGCTTGGGGAGCTTGCGAGCTCGGGAAAGGAGTTTCGCAGGAGCTTCCAAGAAACTTCGAGGGACCTGCGGAGAGGCGTCGGGCACGCGCATTGAGAACGAGTAGGAGAACGTTCTCGCGACCCGCCACGAGTTCACTCCCTGACAGTTGGTCATCGTGCGCGCCCGCGGGGTCTCACGCGCCTCTGGCCCGATGGGCCGTCGAATGAAATTAGTTTGACTGTGCATCTCCACGTGCACTGCCGCGCAGAAGAGGAGGAGCATATATTTGCCAGAGCCACCAGTCAGCATCATCAGCATCATCATTATGATCATCGTCGTCGTCGCCGTCGCCGCCACCGTCATCGTCATCATCATCATCATTATCAGCATCATCATCATCATCATCATCACCATCACCATCACCATCGTCATCAGCAGCAGCATCACCATCGCATCATCATGATCCCCTTCGCTCGTTCACAACGGACCTGGTTTGCTAAGACTGACGTGATGTTCGAGGCGAACCAACCCAGACGGAGTTGAGTCCAGACTGGCCACGATGGGCGCGGGATGACAGCTTATCCCCTCTTCCCGTCCCCACACGGGGCATGGGACGGCGGCTTCCACGGAGACGACCCGACGGCCTGCGGCAAGGAGGACGCAACGTGCTACTCGAGTAGGGTTGAGCAGGGGAATCAGGAGGAAAACGGCGACAATGATGAGCGACAGGCAGATATAGCGAGGAAGGGAGAGGGGATCGATGCAGAGGAGGAGCGGTGAAAGGAGAAAGGATAAGGCGCAGCAGGAGGGGTGAATGGGTGGTGGGGTGGAGAAGGGGGGAAAACGGACGGCGGGATGAGGACAGACGGCGTAGAGAGGGGAGAGGAAAGGAGGAAATGAGGGAGGAGGGAGGGGGCAGTGGTAGAAGAAGAAGCATAAACGAGGGAAGCAAAGAGGAGGAGGAGGAGGAAGGAAAACGGATGTATGGTTATGGTTGCACCATTGCTACACTGACAGAACCACACACGGTGCATCATGGTGTACTGCGCGGCCCCGCATCTAGTGCATATTCCAGAAGTCAAATAGCCAGCCTGACGAAGCCGTGCTTCGGGCCAGCAACCACAAGTCACAACCACAGCTTGGCTCAAGTGGTTCAAGACTCAAGTGGGACACCCTGCCAGCCAGCATCGCTCGACCCCCTCCTTGTTAGTAGACCTCATCGATATCTGCGCAAGCTACGAGCATGATGAAGGCGTGGGCGGTCACCAAGTACGGCGATGCCTCGGCGCTCTTGGCAGCGATGGACGTGGAGAAGCCGCAGCCAGGGGCCGGTGAGGTCCTGGTCAAGAACATGGCCATCGCAACCAACCCCATCGACTACAAGGTGATCGCCGGCGCCCTGGCACCAGGCAAGGAGGCGCCCCCCCAGCGCCTCATCGTGGGCTGGGACAGTGCGGGGGTGGTCGAGGCTGTCGGGGAGGGGGTGACAGGCTTCCAGGCCGGTGACAAGGTCTGGTTCGCAGGTGACATCACCAAGGACGGATGCTACTCGCAGTACACCAAGATCGACTCGCGGATCATCAGTAAGATGCCCAGTACGCTCTCCTTCGAGGATGCTGCTGCCTTGCCGCTGACCTTCCAGACAGCGTGGGAGGGCATGGTGGAGCTGATGGGGGTCCAGAAGGGCAAGTCGATCTTCGTCTTGAATGGCGCTGGCGGGCTCGGGTCGATCGTCATCCAGGTCGCCAAGCACCTCGGGCTCACAGTGATTGCCTCCGCGTCGCGCGCGGAGACCATCGAGTTTTGCAAGCAGATGGGCGCGGACCACGTGGTCAACCACCGCAACGAGGACCTCGGCGCTGAGCTCAAGCAGGTCGGCTTCGACTGCGTGGACTATGTCTACAACGCCCACGAGAACGATCGCCTCGGGGAGCTCTTCAAGCTGCTGGTGTGCGACGGGAGGCTTGTGGTCACCTACGGCCCTACGCAAGAGCAGATGGCGAAGGTGGACTGGACCACGGTGTGGCTGAAGAGGCAGACGCTGTGCTTCCAGATGATGTTCGCGCGGTCCATGTTCAACACCGAGCCCGCGATGGTGGGTGGCGTGATGGCAACCATGGCAAAGCTCGTGGACCAGGGCAGCATCAAGACGACCGTCACGAAGAAGTACGGGGGCATGGAGGAGATCAATGATGCCACCAAGCTTCAGATGTCTGGCAAAGCCATCGGCAAGATCTGCGTCACAATGACGCACTGAGGCTGTGCTGGTTTACCCCATGATTTGTTCGAGGAGCTTGCAGATTCGATCCGACGCACAGTCCGATTCGATCTGCTTTAAAAGGAAGTCCCTGGTGGCCTCGGTGGCTTGCCTGGGCCGTCGTGGGAGCCCTCTTGGGCGCCCGGGCAGAACGCCTGGGGAGGCGTCGGGGCGCGAGTGGAGCCGTGGGAGGGGGGGCTGCGCGCGACGGAGCGTGGCGGGAGGGGGGGCCCTTCAAATATCGGGGGCAACGATAGGGAGGAGGAGGAGGAGGAGGAGGAGGAGGAGGAGGAAGAGGAGGAGGAGGAGGATTCCCAGAGGGCCCCCCTGCGCGACGAGCTGGAAGCACCTTACGGTAGGTTCGTGTCGTGTCGAACGGCGGCGACCCCGCCCGCGGCGTTCAATTCTTCAGGGGCAACGATCGGGGGGGGATGGGCATGGGGGGGGGAATGCATCGACCCTCAGTCGCCCATTGATCGCCGATCGGGGCCCGATAGCCCCAATCTGCCCAGGAAGGTGCGGATTCGCTGTCGGAGGCCTATCGCAGATGTATCGGCGATGTATCGCCGATGTGGCGAGAGGGGGGGGCCTTCAATCAAGCAGTGGCGAAGCGTCCTGGCTCGCCTATAGCCCTACCTACCAAGCAATGTTCTGAGAACCTTTTGTGGCTTCCACGAAATGTTCTTAGAAAAGTTCTGGTTGATATTGTTTTGTTTCAACACGTCGGACTTATGTTCTAAGAACATTGTTTTTGTTCTTGGAACATTTTTGGGTTCTAAGAATATTTCGTGGTATGACTATAGGAATGCCAGGACGGTCGGTCCCTGCTCAATTCAAATGCTACAGAAGCCCTGCCCGATGGCACTTGGCATTCTGCCTCGGCTCAACGTGGTCATCCTCCTCCTCCCCTGGTCGCGTCCTCGTCCTGCGACCTCTCGTCTCCCTGCCCTTTTCCTCCTCCTCCTCCTCCTCCTCCTCCTCCTCCTCCCTTCCGCCCTCATCCTCCTCCAGCCCACACTCCATCCAAAGAGGAGTGCCGCCTCGCGTGCATGCTGTCCGCGGCTGCTCGAGAAGCGCGGTCCAGCTGTGCGATCCGTGGTGCCCACGCGTTGATGCAGAGTCCCGAGGTGGTGCAGGCGTGACCAACATAGTCTTGGCATCGCTCGGACGTGTGCATTTTTCCTTCGGCGAGAACCATCGAGGAGCATCCTTGATCATTTGGCGAAAAAAACCACGCACGACACCGAAAAAAACACAGGGAATGGACGTCCGAGCGATGGCCAGTAGTCGCAGTGTCCGATACTCCCGCGTCCCGCCCCGCTCTGCAGGACGGCCCCCTCCGCGCCATGGGCGAGGTGCAGCGGGCCAGCGCGTTCGCCTGGGGCGCGTGGTGGCTCCGGGGCCTCCCAGGAGCAGGCGCCCCTCGTCGTCTTCGTCATCGCCCCACGCCTCCTCCAACCCCCTCCTCCCCTTCTCGTCGTCGCCCTCGTCCTCCACGCCCTCTTCCCCTTGTGGGTGTTCCCTTCCCGGGGCCTGGGTTAGCATGCTGTCGGCCGTCAGCCTTATGCTATAATTACGGTTGCGGTTGCCAATGCGTGGCCATAG